ACGAACCCCTTTCATCTAAAAACCCAACCCAGTGGAATGTTCCCACACATTGACAATCATTCCTATTTTGGAAGGACGAATCGGTGGCGCATGTCGACGTGAACCCTACTATATGTTACGATTATCCCCTTTTCTAATTTGAATTTCAAATATTCGTGATTCTAAAACCCACATTATAGATTGAGGGAACATTTCACACAGTGTTGGTGTGAATCAGAATCTCTGTGTTGTTTAATTTCGTTGAGTTCGTGGTCGTGAAGAACCCTAATGCCTTCCTAGAACAATGGGTTTTGCACTGTGAACCCTGCTGTAACAACCCTCGTCACTGTTTACCGATTAACCACTGATTACTGCTAAACTGAGACTGGTTGTGATTGATAACTGAAGTAATTGAACTGATTGAAATACTGAACTAACTGACTGAAATCTGAAACTGATTGATTGACTGTATCTGTTTAAATGCATTTTTTATCTGTTGCTTGTTAATTGATCTATTCGTGTTTGGTTAATTTGCGAATTGAAGGCCTTATCGGCGGTCGAATCTGAAATTGATTGATGTTTTATGATCGTTAGAATTAATGTGAATTTATGGCATATTTATCTGATAACTGATTTGGTATAATTATTAGATTAAATATTGATAAATTGCATAGTTGGCCTTAATTACATTAGTGCCACCTAGTGACCCACTACTTGGACTATTGTTGAGCCTTATTACACTCTATACAAAACTTTTTCATCAGCCTTTCCTTGTCTCAATCGACCAAGAGAGGGAGAGGGAGAGAATTGATTTGTTCTTGAGAGAATTGCTTGGAAATTAGGAAGATTAAAGGAGTTCTTGCAACATTGAGCCTCCATACCTCTAATTCAAGACTTAGGTAAGGAAATTCAACCTTTTATTGTTGCGTTTATGAATGTTCATCCATGGTTCTTGTGTTCTTAGTGACCTAAGCCCAGAATTAGCTCAAGTTGTTGAATTAAGAGCTCATTCCTTGCATGCATGCCTATATTGTTGAATTTTGAGTTGATTCCATGGAGAATTGTCACATGCATGCTCATAGTTATGTTAAGTCCATGTTTTCATCTTGTCCTTGGAAGGAATTGGCTCATTAGAGCATGATATTGAGCTTTGAAATGGTTGAAATTCATGCATGTTTGCATGTTCTTCATATTCATGAAAATTGGTTTCAAATTGAGTTGTTTGTAACACCCTTGGGCCTCGATTTGACAAATTGAGCTTTGAATCATGTTAAAGTATGAGTTTTGATGTGTTTTCTGGAAAATTGGCCCAAGTGGATCGAAATTTATGGTTTAAAACTTGGTTTTGAGCTTGAGGTTCAAATATGGAATTTCCAGAATTTGGACTCACGCTCGAGCGGGGTGACTGGCGCTCGAGCGTGGAAATCGTGCTCCCAGCATCTTGTTCTGTTTTGAAGTCCGCTTGAGCGGAATAATTGACGCTCGAGCAGGACATTTTGTCTCATGCTCGAGCGGGTGTCGAGCGCCCAATCGAGCGTGATTTTCGCCTATCCAGCACTTTTGACTGTTTTGCAGAACGCTCGAGCGGGTAAGTCTACGCTCGAGCGGAAACCTTTGTCTGCATGTTCGCTCGAGCGGAGTAACCTACGCTCGAGCGTGACCCCTGTTTTCTGAAAGTCTGAAAATGTTTTTAAAGTGCATCTTTGCATCCTCATCTCATCCTAGGCATTCTTAGGCCTAGTTTAAGGCATCTTAATGAGGATATAGATGTAGAACACACCGAGGCAATTAGGGATTAAGTTATTATTTCCCAACTGTGTAGGTTAGTGTGTGTTCAATCTGTCACTGTGTAGGGTTGGCGACTAGGGACGCGCTTTAGCTTTACTGTAGCCCAGAACTCTGTGAGTAACAACTGTGTAAAGATATGTTCAAAATGATTATCTTCTGAACAATTGAACTGTACTGCTTTCTGAACTGATACCGTTGATTGAATGAATGTATGTCTTATATTCTGAACTGTACTGTGGCATCCTTAGCAACTACTGTTTACTGTTTACTGTTACAGAGATCTTTGTTGGTTCCCTTGTTGGAACCACTACTGTTTACTGATAGATGGCCATCATTTACTGTTCGGTCTTTTAAGACCTACTGTTTACTGTATTGTTATGCTAATGGATGTACCACATATGACTGTATCGACTGAACGACTGAAATACTGATTTAATGAACTGTTTTCATTACTGTAAAGACATTTAAGGACTTGTGCTACTAATGCTTAGAGTCCCCTAGCACGTACGGACTTCCAAACTTTGTGCTACAAATGCTTAGAGTCCCTTAGCACGTACGGACTCCAACACACTCTAAATCAAATGCAGCAGAACAGAACAACAACCAGAGCAGCAGTTCACAAGTTAATATTAGACCAAACTCTCCAACTAAACGGACAGCACAGCAGCAACATATATAGCAAAAAGTGTTGTAGTATGTCCTCAAACAGTATGTATTAAATACATCAAGGTTCTATGTCACGATTTATATAGTTAAACAATGTCAAATTCATCTTCTTTTTGCTCATTATCGTCCTCAATGAAGTCATCTTCGTCGGTATCACAAATGAAAGCATCAGCAACACCCTCGACTTGTGTTTGACTATGAGATTGTGAAACCATTGTATTTGGAATAATTTCACCTTCAATATCATCTCTACACAAAACCCCTTGATTGCCACCGCCTTCAACTTGCATACCGTTTACGTCCACAATTGGTACAACCTTGGTGGTTTCATTTTGTTGTAACACACTATTTAGAGCATCATCAGGTAAACCATCCATCTCTGGCACATTCCATATTCCTCGATGGTGGAATCGTTCTACAACTTTCCAATTCCCACCTAATTTGGTATCATTAACGTAGAATACTTGTTCTACTTGAGCTGGGAATACAAAGGGATCATGTTCATACCATCGACTTTTCACATCGACACTTGTGACATGTGTATCCGTGAGACAAGTCTTCTTGCTACCGGTGTTATACCATTCACATTGGTACAAAACAACTCGATGTCTAAACAAATATGTCATTTCCCACACTTTCCTCAAGTAACCGTAGAAACGCATTGAATGACCCTCATGCTCCCCTTCTACAACCAGCCCACTATTTTGAGTTTTACGACGGTTATCACGATCGATGGTATGAAATCGAACACCATTAGAAATGCATCCCGAATATGTGTTGACTATTGCACTAGGACCATTGGCCAACGACCACAATTCATCCGTTGCTTCCGGCGACCCTTGATTCCGCAACTGATTTATCTACATAAGCAATACGTGTTATGTTACTTTGTTGAAGTTGGTTATAGCATAATGTGCTCACATGTTGGATAGATAGGTATGTCTTACACGTTCTTTGAACCACTTAGGAAATTCATCCCGTTGCCTCTCTGTAGTGTCACATGTACTTCCATTTTGCAAAATGTTCTTGTGTTCCCTAATTAATAAGAATAGGAGATAAGTAAGACATATGATTACGAATAATTAGACAATACGTGTTATGGCGAATTTAACTTTTTTGAGGCCTGAAAACATACTGTAGATATTGTTCCACGTCAAAGTGGTCGGCAATTGTGTAAATTCTTGTAGTATGGGCAAAAACAGCCTTTTTCTAAACTAATCCTCACTAGTTTTGAAACCCAACACTTGGAGGCCTCTGGTAATCCTCTCCTCCAAGGCCTATCATAATCCTAAGGCCCGTTACTCGAGTCTTGACTTAAATGGAGCTTGTGTTGAGGGGTCGGTGTAAGTTTTCAAGTTATAATCTCTCATCCAAAATAGACAATAGGATACCTTGGTGATCTCATCACGAGCGTTGCCTTGGACTTGCGAAAAGATGTGAGAATTTTTTTGTAACAAAAAAATAACAATAGTCCTAAAGGACTATATATGTTTTCCTACTTTGTAAACAAACATCATTATAGTGGGTCACATATCAATCCTAATCTAATCCCCTTCTCTATCACCTGAAACAAACAGACCTTAAAAGATAATATAATTATAGTTTTATACCGTTAATTTTACTTTTATCTTCTAAACTTTCACTAATTTTACTATTTGATGTGATCCAATTAAAAATGATTATACAAATCAATAAGCCAATTCAAAACGCTTTTCAAGAACGCCGAATAAAAAAATATTTTTTAGAATTTAAACAACTTAAATCATATCACACTACAAAAAAATTGTTTTTTTGCGACGGTAAAATGCCGTCGCAAATACCCAAAACGCCGTCTCAAAAAGTTTTTGGCGACGGTAACTGGCCTTTTGCGACGGTAAATGGGGGGTCGCAACAAAGGGGGTTGCAAAAGGGTTTTAGCGACGGTATAATGCCGTCGCCTTTTTTTTGCGACGGCAAAAATGTCTTTTTGCAACGGAAAAATGCTGTCGGCATTAACATGTGAAAATCTGAGTTTATTTGCGACGGTGTTGTCTTGTCGTCGCTAAAAGATTATTTGAGACAGCACCTGATGCCGTCGCTAAAGCACTATTGGCGACGGCAAATAATACCGTTGCTAAAAGTCTTCCTTTTCAACCAATTTCCCTGTCTTTTCCGACAGCATTACTGCCGTCGCAAAAAACCCTGGTTCTATTTTTCTTTTTGAGACGGTGTGTGTGCTGCCGTCTCAAAAAAAAAAAAAAAAACCTGTAATAAAATTATTAAAAATATGAAAATGACCTGTATTAAATGAAAAATAACTAAAAAAAAACCGATAATTACATAATAATATAAAAAGTCCAGTATATAAATAAAAATTCATCCATAATTAAAATATTCTTCCATTCACAACAATACATCAGCAAAATTATCCCACTACATAATGTTGTTTACAAATCTAAATAACGTAAATAAAAAACAAAAGTTTTCGTCATGATTCTTCCGTGGGTTACAAAAACAAAAGTTAGTCATAATCTTTACACGCTTGCATTCCACAAGAAGCAAAAGGGTTACAAAAACAAAAGTTAGTCATAATCTTTACACGCTTGCATTCCACAAGAAGCAAACTGCTACTCCGGAAATATCTGAAACTAACAAAATAAAAATAATTAATGACAATATAATTGTGTTAATATTTTAATTACAGAAAAACATAAAAAATTAACTACTATATAATTACAAAGATAGTTTAGTAAATAATTTTGGCTAGACAGAAATCCGGCCCTAACTCCCAAACCGAAGACCCGATTGGAGTCCCATCTTCTCCCAATTTACCCTTCTACAGCTCTCTCAATTTTTTCGTCTCACTTCATATTGTTTTAACTATTTAGAAGAGGAAAGTTATGGAATTATGTTCTTCTTTGTTTTACCTTTTGGACAATTGTTGTTTATAGATAAGGCCAATTCTTGCTGAAGTTCATGTAAAAAGACTTAACTTGATGTACAATTCAACCAAAGTTGATGCAAGTGTTTGGAGTCAGCTATGCACAACTATCACATTGAATTTTTTGACATAAAATGAGGTGATAGCAAAAGTTCATTCATGAATATAGATGAAAGTGAAATACTGCAATAGTGACCTCAAAGTAGATGAAAGTGAAAGTGAAAGTGAAATACTGCAATAGTTAAAAAGATTCCCAACTTCAAATGTGTGGCTTACATGGGCAATAATAAGACACCAAATACACATCAATAAGCACATCCTGACGAAATGCATAATTTATGTCAATGTCAAAGGTTGGTTACAGTATTTGTTTTTTCGTTATTTTTTTTCGTCTTGGCAGAAAAGGCTGGTTATAAGTGAAGCAGCTATACGATCAAAATATGCCAAAAGCCAGCTTTATAGTATATTCTGGACTTAAAACCTGTGCATCTTTTTGTTTCTTTTAGTATCATACGTATAAAAAATTATGTAAACTCAAACTTTATAATGAAACAAAAAGCTTTGAAGGTCATAATGAAGCTTCTTTGCTTCTAATGTATCGTTATTTTTTAGCCTTTTGATGCAAACATACAAATCTCGGGTAAAAAAAAATACTCAAGAAAGGTATTTCTGGGAGTACTGTGTCAAACCGAAGTGTATGCTATATATGACTAACATGAGTACTAACAAGTGTAGTTGGACATTCATTGAGCAAGCATGTCTAGTAACTCAGGTTTACCATATAACTATGTATAAAACTCCCTTATTATGCATGAAATTCTATTTGTCATATTATAAAAACTGTTTTCACTTTAGAAAATAAAAGAGGAATACCAAAAATATGAACATTTTGCGGTGTCTTTGTGTGGACATGCAAATTAGTAACATAACCCACACAGGAGTCCATTTAATATAGCTTCTATGATATTATCCTTGTTATGAAAAAAAGTTGTCTCTAGATTCTATTTATTTACTTATAAAAGAAAATATTCTTGAAAATTAATTGCACCATCAAGGTTGCACCCCAAGCAATAAAGGGTTATGACTTGAAGAGCAATTGAGATTCTATTTTTTAAATTCTAAAGTAGGTTCCCAGAAAAACTGATGGGCATATAGAATTAAAAACTATGAAACACGAATACTTCTAGTAGGGAGTTATATTTGTATTGAATACCAATACTCCTCAAATATTCACAATTACTTATCCAATATTTCATAATCCTATCCACAGTTATTTTTTTTTTTAATTTTAAGAAGTACTGGATACTATTCAGATATTCTAGGTCATGTATTTGAACTATTATAAGAAGTATAATTGTTGGGATAAATAATATAAAAAAAAAAAGTTTTTGGTTACTTTGCTTACTTCTTAGAAAAGAAGAAAATAGTGCGGTTAAAATAGTACCTTACATTTTAAAAATTTATCAAATTGATTAATCCTTACTGTGTCATATGTGTGTCCCATATCTGTATTCATACTTTATAGAAAGTAAGAATATATAAACAAAAATATAACAATGCTTAAATCGGATATCATCAACTAAACAAGCAAGTAAACTTGTATACCACACTTTCCTATATCATACTTTTAGTGTGAAAGGGGAAAGCACATGGACAATATTAACAATTCAAGAGTAACATTTAAATGAAATTTAAGTAGGACCCACTCAAAATTATGCATTGATGATTACTTATTCAAATTATTGCAATTTAAACAGGCTAGTTCCAAAAAAAATGGTTTCTCACGAATCACGATTCTTTGTGTTTATATATAATACGATACTAAAATTTATATATATATAAAAATATATATAGTTTTTACAAGCACAAATCTTATTTTTTAGGTTTTGTCGTATCATCATACTCGTATTCGTATCATACACAAGTCATATTGTCCGAATTCTAATATCTAATGTAGGATTTGTGGTTCAACTATGGTGGTAGACTAGTGCAATTTCAGAAAGAGAAATTTCAATTGGAGTCGAACAGGACGCATAGCAAGTCAAAATGAAAATGCTGGTCCAAGTTATATTTTCAGAAAGGGGTAGAGTTCAATCAGAGTTTAAACAGAATGCATAAGACTTCAATTGGAGTAAACAGGACTCATAGCAAGTCAAAATGGATTTGCTGGTCCAAGTTATATTTTCAGAAAGAGGTAGAGTTCAGTTAGAGTTTAAACAGAATGCATAATGCCTCCACAAGTATTTACCATTGTCAAACCTACCGACTTCAAGCCAGCAAACTAAACCAACTATGATTACACTTGTTTGATCCCATTATAGAAACAATTGTTCCATTTACACCTTACGTCCATAAGCACTATTGTGATACTTAATAATATCGTATGTTTCACATGTTCAAGTAGAATGTTGAGGATTCAAAGAAATAATAGTTTATATCTATTTCCTTCAAATAATGATATTTATCAACATGAGAAAGAAATAGCTGCAGATTAATGAAATTGTGTTGCTATAGGAGCAAGAAGAGTACCTGATTGCAATGTCCATCAACCATATTAGGAGAAGGCATTTTATGAGAAAGATCATAAATAGACAAGATATCCTTCAATATGCTGCGTATATTAAGCTCAAAAAGAGTCCTGACAGCTACAATTGAACCAGAAGCAAGTGTGACAAGTAGCCCAATCAAACCCTGTAAACCAATATGGAAAAAGTTTGAATAAATAGACATGGTAGGATATTGAGGACAACCATCACACAAAACATAAATAAAGAGACTGCATACGGTGTAAACTAGTTGGCACAAGATGGTTCGACAATTCAAGTCTATCAGATGTGTAGCTTGATGAATCAGCCCATGTTTACAAAGTTCGTCCAACATATCAAACGTGTGGCGTGCTCCTTCTGCTATCTTTATCAAACAAGTGGCTACATTTTCAACAAGCTGAGGATGACATGGAAAAACAAGAAAATGTTAAAAAAATCATAAGATCAAATATTCCAGTGACAAGATAACCCGCACACACAAAAACATTACCGATCCTCATACTGAAGAAGTTTACACAATATTGGAACTGCCTCCATTAAAGGTGCAGGACATTCAGAAGGAAGTTTCTTACACAAATTGACTACAGTAGAAAGTGCAAAAATTGAAAAGGAAGACACAACTAGCTTCACAGGTATCGAAATCCATGTGACCCAAAAATTGCTTTAACCATGAAATTTTCATGGCATAGCGTGATGCTATCATCTAGATGAAAATGATTCATTAAAAAGGAAGACACAACTAGGAGATACAAACTAAACAAGAAAGCAAAAGAAATCCCTGAAATAACCTCTTGAAAATAAGTTCCAATTGTGATTAGTGCCTTGGAGGCATTTGAATGCGACTCAACAGAGCCTTTATATGCCATAGCATGTTCCAGTAGCAAACACATATTCTCCACTGAAGGCCAATACTCCAGAATTCTTTCTACTGTCCTGTATTGTTCTGCATTTGCCTCAAAGCATTTCAACAGAAATTTGATCATAGCCACATATGTTTTTGAAGGGAAAAGAAGCTTTGCCTCCCTCATTTCTGTGGCCTCTAGTAATGCTGGCTGCTATATAAGAATATAATCTAGCATATCTCCAAGTTTTGGGTATTTAAGATTGTTATAGTCACCAACAGCTCCCCTTTGACCTTCACCAGGAAACAAACCTTCAGGTGCCATTTCCTTACAAAATATCAGTTAGCAATCATGCACGAAACAATAAAACAATTTATAAGCATTGACCAAATTTAGGGTTCATCACTAATTAAATAAAAGTTGAACTGTGTCAATTGCGAATTGAAGAAAAGAATGTCAATACTACTGACTTTATTTTTTTACTGGGGTACTTAAGCAGTATTATAAAAAAAACTAGTAAACAACATCGCCATATATATATATATATATATGTAGAGAGAGAGAGAGAGAGGGGAACATAGAATAAAGTCTAAGTCCTCATCTCTTGCATTGTAACAATTTTTGTTCTCTGTCATTCCATTCCTTGTTCTCAAGGACAAGAATTAAACACACAAAACAAAACAAAACAAAAAAAACTCGAGTCAAAAGTGGCAAGTTGACTCCTTTCTAGGTGCTATTCAGCACTGTCAATGGCATTTACACACAGCCAATATCAGTATCATTCGACAAATCACTTTAGCCATATGCTCTAGTGATGATTCAAATTTAATTAGTGCAAAGAATTATTGTACCAAGACCACCAGCAACATAAACGTAGATTATTCTGTCAATCTGACACATTGATCAGAAATGGAACTTTATGCTTCAGTTCTTTCTTTCTTTTTTTTTTTTTTTTTTTTATAATTAAAGAGTAACCATTTTATTAGAAAAAGAGCATCAAGATGATGCTACAAACACAGCCACAACCAGCCCCACTCCAACCTACATTTAGACATGTAAAGAATCAATAAAATCCACAAAAGAAAATAAGTCCAGAACCACACTTCCTAAGACCCAACTATACAAAACCACCAGAAAAAAAATCAGTAGTATTGACAAAATCCTATTTCACAAAAAATACTTTCTTGGAATAGCGAAATTCTAGCATTCCAACCAAGAATAAGTCATGATTTATTCAGGTATTGTCATTGAAGGTTTTTCAATATTAAAATTCGAATAAATTTCACTCTCTTGCTACCAATCACCACAAAAAACAATTGAAGCATTGTGTTCTCTACTACTTCCTCTTAATTGCATTGATTATTTGATTATATCTAACTGTCTATCTAACTATCTAACTATTATATAAACCCAATGCCATGCTTAGTGTAGATGTCAAAAATCAAACAACACAAAAAAGAAATAAAAAAAAATTTTAAAAAAATAATTGAATGCATCACAAGATCCATAAACAAAAAAATAAGCAAACGGCAATAACATCAACATCTGAAAGGTGAAAAAAGGAAACCAAAATGTGAAGAAAATCATGGAAATTAATAAAGCATTTGAGTGACATACAGACACAAAACACATGCATTGCAATCAACATCAGAAAACAGAAACGGAAACGGAAAATCAAGAGAGGAAAAGAAAGAAGACCTGTAACGGGAATGGAAACAGAAAATCAAGAGAGGAAAAGAAAGAAAACCTGGTCACCTCTAGGCACAATTTCAAACCAATGACACCCCCAAACAACAATGGAGAAAAAAATATATTCAAAAAAATGAGAGGGCTTTGGATGTAATTAGAGAGAGAGAGAGAGGAGGCATACAGTCGTCACTCGCCGTCGCTGTCGTCACTCGTTGCTCGTCATCGTCGTTGATGACCGTCGTCACTCGCTACTCCTTTGCTGCTAGCCGTCGTCGATCACCGTTGTCCGTCACCGTCGTTGAATTTTGGCTCAAGGGCTTTGGGGATTTTGTTCCAAATGGTTTTGGGGATTTTGGTTTTAAAGATTTTAGGGATTTTGGGTTGGTTCAAAAAGGTTTGGGGAAACACATGACCGCGAATAGGCTAAAGTGAGCGGAATCGAAAAAATTTCATTACTTTTTGCGGCAGCGTACTTAAACCGTCGCGAATGTTGAATCCTAAAAGTTAAAACGACATCGTTTTAACAAGACTTTTGCGACAGTAAATATTCCCGTCTCAAAAAAAATTTTTTGCGACGGTACATCAGGCGTCGCAAATGTTTTATGTTTTTTTGTGATATATTCATTAGCGACGAGGTCACCACCGTCGCAAAAGACAATTTTTTGAGACGGTTTGAAAATGCCGTCGCAAAAAACCATTTTTTGAGACGGCCTGAAAATGCCGTCGCAAAAGACCATTTTTTGCAACGGTACCTATACCGTCGCAAAAATTTCCGTGTTATTTGGGCCCTTTTCTTGTAGTGTCACGAAGAACTTATTTTTTTTGTTATCTTGTACAAACTACACTCTACAACTAATTTATATTATAAAAAATTAAGATTTTAGAAAATAAAATTTAAGGATAAATTTATTTTTTAAAGATCAAATATTTTTATTACAAAAAGTGTCGTAATTATATTTTTCGCAATGAAAATTGGACATTACTGATGAATTATTATCTTTTTGGGATCAAATTTTTTGTCTTAAAAAATAAATCATTTTGAGACCAAATTATTTTGTCTTAAAAGTATATATATATTTTTTGGTCCACCCTAAAAGTATATTTATTAGTGACATTTTCAAAATTTTGCAGCTAAATGTCTAGTTTTTGATTTTTCGGGACGACCTTTTAGTGACTATTCTCATGATGATAGAAATTGGTCTCTAAATATTTTTTGTAATAAAATTTTCACTTTTACTGATCAAAACATTTGATTTCTAAAACTCTTATATGTTGTCAAGATTCTGGAAAGCGGTTGCGGTTGTACGGTGTAAAGGCCGTAGCGTAACGGTTGCGGTAACCGGAACCGTAAATTTTTTTATTTTTCGCACAATTTGAAAAATACTTAGCGACGCATATTTTTTTTCCATGATCATATTTATTGCGTTTAAAATAAATATTGATCAATTTTTGTAAATTTTTAAGTATGATCTAATATATTTCATATTTTTAAATCACTATAAACTAAGTGTTTTACATTTTATTTTAATAATTAATGACTTTATATTATACAAAAAATCAATCACTAACTATTATATATAAGATAAACAATGACAAAAGTAAAAGAATAAATAAGAGTCTAAATACATATATATATATATATATATATACATACATATTTTAACCAAGCCAAATAGATAATGACCACACTTATTATTATTATTATTTTCAAATAATATATAGATAGACACACACAAATAAAATGGTTGAATGAGCAGAATAAAATAGTATAGGTCTTATAGTTTCAACAAATCAATAACATATTCTTCATCTTCCCTCTTCTCTCTCTATCTCTTGCTCCTCCATCTTCTCTCTTTATCTTCCCTCTTCTCTCTATCCCTCTTCTCCCATTTTCAGTTTTTTTTTTTTGTGTATTTTTGAAAGAAGCAGTGTGGAACCGTTATGTAACGGTACGTAACAAGCCGTTACGACTATTACGGCACTATTACGACCGCTACAGCAGCCGTTACGGCCGACACACTTGTGAATCTCAATCACACTGTAAAAGTGGCCGTAACGGGTGGCGGTAACCACCACAACCGTTACGTAACGGCGTTACGTAATAGTTGTGGCCGCTTTTTAAACCTTGTATGTTGTAATGTTAATAGATGTGTGATTGTATGAGTACATTATCAAACTACATTTTTTTTTACCCATTAAATTAAAGTTCAACGGTAATTTGTACAATTGTCTATAAATTGGATAACATGAATAAAAATTTGAAAATTTAAAAATTAAATAGGTGAAATTGGTGGTAGTTTACAGATGAAATAGAAAATTTTGTAATAATTTTGAAAGTAGAAGTGAAATAAACATTATTTTATAGAAGGCGCCATTGAATTACAGTAAGTAGAAAAAAAAAAGAAGTGGCACTTGGGGTTTTGAATTGGGTCCACACGATTGTCCAACGGTGAGGAGAGGTAAAATAGACGATAGAGACACGACCACGTAGTTGACTTGGTAAGACTTGAGATTGTAGGGTGAGCTAAAAAAAAGTGTTGTTTTCATTTGTCATGTTTAAATGACAAAAAAATAAAACATGTAAGAAATTAATATAAGTGAGATTTTTTTTTATTATTTGTTTTTAAGGGGCAATATGTTATAACTAATCAACTTGTTGCTTACCAAATATATTGTCTTTAGTGAAAAATAAAATAAACTTAGTAAGATAATTTTTTTGTCATCATTTTTTATCGTTTCTCACCATATTTTATTCAACTTACAAATTGCACACAAAAAAAAAAAAGAAGTTATATTTCTTATCATTTTTCACCAAATTACTCATATAAACAGAGTGTAATTCTTTGATTTAATTCTTGATCATGCCAGGCTCTTGCTCTTTGTCTGATGAAAAGTAGTGCATTCCATTAATTCGCGTCTAATCTAATTAGGATTTATAGATGTCTAATCTAAACTTAAAAAGGAATTATGTGTCATGTGTAACAAAAATATAGTAACAGTAAATCACAAATATATTTTTTGAAATTTACGTAAAATATGAATTGTCTTTTATAATTTTTAAAATTGTATTTCAATTCTTTAAGTTTTTAATCATATAACAAATGATTTTTTTATATTAATAAATTATTTATTTAGATCATCTCAAATAAATCCTTAATTCTCCTCTTAACAGTTCCATTGCAGTAACATTATGTCCATTATCTACAAAGCTAACAAACATCTGACACTAACTTGTGTGTTAGTGAGTCCGGTGTGGAGTAAATATTGTCATTAAAAAAAGGTAAATTAAAAATATATTTATTTAGATCATCTCAAATAAATCCTTAATTCTCCTCTTAACAGTTCCATTGCAGTAACATTATGTCCATTATCTACAAAGCTAACAAACATCTGACACTAACTTGTGTGTTAGTGAGTCCGGTGTGGAGTAAATATTGTCATTAAAAAAAGGTAAATTAAAAATATATTTATTTAGATCATCTCAAATAAATCCTTAATTCTCCTCTTAACAGTTCCATTGCAGTAACATTATGTCCATTATCTACAAAGCTAACAAACATCTGACACTAACTTGTGTGTTAGTGAGTCCGGTGTGGAGTAAATATTGTCATTAAAAAAAGGTAAATTAAAAATATATTTATTTAGATCATCTCAAATAAATCCTTAATTCTCCTCTTAACAGTTCCATTGCAGTAACATTATGTCCATTATCTACAAAGCTAACAAACATCTGACACTAACTTGTGTGTTAGTGAGTCCGGTGTGGAGTAAATAACATTTTTTTATATAAAAAATAAAAAAATATATTTATTTAGATCATCTCAAATAAATCCTTAATTCTCCTCTTAACAGTTCCATTGCAGTAACATTATGTCCATTATCTACAAAGCTAACAAACATCTGACACTTGTGTGTTAGTGAGTCCGATGTGGAGTAAATATTGTCATTAAAAAAGGTAAATTAAAAATACATTATTTGAGATTTATTTAAATTATAAATTATTTTTGTGATTTGAAAAATTACAAATACTCTTATGAGAATTTTTTATTTAATAGAATTAACTAAAAAAATAAAATTTCAATTGCTCTCTTATACAATAATAAAATTATCTAAATTATTAATTAAAATATATTTCTGACATCATTCAAATATGTTAATTGACTTGATAATTTATTGATAAAATAAGTAATTTGTTATGAAATTATAAACTTTAAGAGATATGATATAATTTCTAAAATTATAAGAAATAATTTACATTTTGAACAAATTTTAACAAGTATATTTATAATTTGTCCTTAAAAAATTATACTGATGGGACTTGAGACTAGAATTTTGTAATGATTCCATCAAAAAAATTTCGAAGACAAGTAGAAAGCCAATTTTGAAAAGGCCACATCTCATCGAAAGGGAGGGGTGTTTTAGGAAAATAGTTAAAAGTTGACTATTAACTTTTAATAAATTTTTTTGACTTTTTTAGAAAGTGATTTGAGAAGTTGATAAAAAGTTACTTTTGAATTTTTTGATTAATATTTATTTATGATGTCACATCGCAATAAAATGACCAAACTACTCCACCTAATTTAAGAAATTTACATTTTCACTCATGTATAATTGTAATTTCACAAGTAACTTTTTTGAACCTTTCCAAATGACAAACGCAACTTTTAACCAAAGTTCCCAAATGGGCACAGAATTTGACTGGTTGGTGTGTCAAGTTTAGTTTTAATAATTTAAATCATTTATTTTTTAAAATTTATTAAGTAAAATAGTTAGGTAAAAAATTAAAATAATTAAATATTAGTAGCTATATATTTAAATCAAATTTGTATTACAAAAATGAATAGTTATTCTTGAAATTATATTTGTTTTCTATTATTTTAAAACAAATATGATTCAAATATGTAGGTACAAATATCCAATTATTTTGAATTTGAATAATGCTAGGGGCCCCAAATATTTTACCAATATTTTTACCAAATATCTCACATGGATATAAGATCCACATTGATAGAAATATTGGTAAAATATTTGAGGTCCCTAGCATTTTTCTTTGATTTTTTTGTATAAAAATTATGCCCAATTAGTTTTTTTTTTTTTTTTTTTTCAAATAAACTTAGGCCGAAGCCAAAGAAATAGGGCTGAGTAAGGAATCTGTAAAATTCGTAATTCGAT